GTGCTGCCCAGATAACCAGGCGGACAGACGCAACCGTTTCGTGTGGGTGTTCCCGAATTCTGACAGTCTCTCTTGCAAAATTGACTCTCTAATTGATGGACAAAGCATGATCCTCCACAAGCTGCTGGCAAAATAATCCTTCTTGTTCTAGTTCGAGTTCCACTTGATCCACACGGACATGAACTCCACTGCGACCAGACGCTGACTTCGCAATTACGAGGACGACACGAAGGAAAAGTGCGTCTTCTTCTTCGCCTTCGCCAAGCTTCATTGTCTTGAACAAACAAGGCCAGCACGAAGATAACAGCAACGAATTTCATCGTTTTTAAATTTGCAACAACGTCAGATTAGATCGCAGAAAGGTAGTTGAATCAAAATGGAGTGTCACAGAAGTTAGCCTTCTGCTTTCCAGAGATCTCTTTATATAGACATGTCACAGACATGCGTGATACACGTGGTAACTATAGATAAACTTGAACGTAATGAGTTAGTTTCGAAGGATTTACTGCTAAGCAGTCAACTACTCCGAGACAACAGAAACCTGTTTTGGGTATTCTCGGCAATTGAGATCTAGGCAGTATAAACACTAGATATTTTTTCACAGTTAAATTACTTTCCAGTTTTTGTAATGTTATGTTAATAAGTTGTAGTGCTAAGTGCAGCAAGGATGCGGAAAAAATGTTTTTGTTTATCTTGCGCGTGAATCAATTAAAAATACTGTTTATTTTCATGACCAGGTGGGTTTAATAAAGTCTTTCATTTTGTCAAAATCTCTTTATCTTGGCTATGACCTTGTTAAGTGAAATTTAAACTTTTTGAGTATGCTGAATTATATTTGCAAGTATTATCATATAGTCTGTAAGACATTTTCCACCGGATTTATATTTATACACACTTCAGGAATCAATCTAAAAGTGCAGTTTATCTTTATTACTGGGCTTGGGTCTTTTGATTGTTTATTATATCATGAAACCTTTCCTCTAGCCACGACATTTCATATATTTGCCCCTTCCGAACACGGAATTCTGTCACTAAAGAATAGTATCCTCTTTTTTCTCGTCGAAGATCCAAGCTAAACATTTTCTAGCTCAGCATTAAAAGATTCGAAGTGTCTTGTATCAAACAGCAGTTTTATTTAAACTGATCGTGTAAGCACAAAAAGAGCTGGTACATTAGCGCGAAAAGTCGTACAGACAAGTGCGAAAGTCATAGAGACGGTAAGTAAGAGCTCGTGTCCTAATAACAAGTACCTCGAGAACTGTATCGCGATTATTAAACTCCCCTGCAGGTGGGAAATTTTAGCAAATTGGCGACCTTACAGACACATGCAAAATACCAGCAGTAAAATTCTTTAGCTATGTACCCCGCATTCAGTTCATTGAAACTATCAAGCATAAGACTTGTGGACAGCGTGATTCAGGGCCGTGTAAGGAGCTTTGAGCATTCAGGTAACCGGAGTCTTGGTTACCTTTGTATAGGATATTTCTATCTCACTTTGCGGATATGATTTTTTGGTTTCTAGTCAGTGAATTTTTGGCATTAGGTATAAAGAGGAGCGCGAAAACTTTCGGCAAATCTAAGAAATAATACTGCGTTTTCCCTTTTGTAGACTATGTTATATTGGGTAAAGTTGAAAAACAGCTCCCAAAAAACTGTCGGTCACTTGTCGATTTT